CCTCGGGGGGGGGGGTGGTTACCTACAGCTGGACTGAGGTTTTGTGATGCGCAGTCGGTTTGCTTATTACTGAAATGGAACCAAATAGCAGGTTCTTATCATTGCGTGTACTGGTGTAACGGTGATACTACTGATGGGGAGGCACGCGAGTAGTATGTGTTCGTAGAATTTCGCTTTGCATCTATTGGAAAAGGGAGATCTGTTGCGGAATTTGTGGAGCCACTTTGTAACATTTGCTTGGATTTGACCGACAAATGAGTGGAATCAATAACTCTCCAGGAAAGTTCAAGAAACCTCGTTCGGGAGAAGATCGGTGTCCAGTTTTTGTAACTAAGATGCAGATTAGAGTTTTGCTTCCCCGTTCAATGGTCTGTAACTGGTCAGTTGGCATTTCCGAATAAGTAACTCTGCAGCGAAGGCCTTCTTCCTTTCACCGGTAGACTCAAATAAGTCCCGGCTGAATTTCCCGTTTATAATTCAAATGAGTTCCCGTTAAAACCAAATTAGTGTAAAAATGAATGTGGCTCACGAACGATCGCCTTCATCATCATCCATCATCATCATCATCATCATCATCATCATCTTCATCATCATCATCTTCATCGCCGTCGACGTCAAACCAATCTTTTTCAAATGGACCCCCGAAAAACCCGTTATTGACATTTTATCCACAAGGGAAGTTGTTGGGGATGTCAGTATCCCCAAAAGCGGCTTATTTTCAGAGTTATTGCCAAATTATTTTCAAAGATTTTTGAATTTTTAAATTTCGCGCCTTTTCCGCCATGTTCCACCTCAATCCGTAAAGACCGCGCTCTTTTCCTATTGGCCGGTTGTAGTAGCTGCTTCGGTGTGTCAGAGAGTTTACGCGTGTGTGTGTCCGTTCGTCGTTCCACCATCGACCTGACATGTGACTTGAGTGGCTGATTGGATGTGTGTCCGATTGGTTGGCTCGTGTGAGCGCTGTGGGTTGACTGGATATGTGACTCAGTTGTTTTGCTTGCCTGCCACGAAAGCGGACCAGTTTGGCCGCGTGTACCCAATACACCCGTGTCCGTACTTACGCGTTCTTCTGACTTACTGTGAACTACAATACCAGTTATACTTTCTGTGCATTAATTGACACAGCGCTCCCCAAGGTCGCTCGATATATATATATATATATATATATATATATATATATATATATATATATATATATATATATATATATATATATATATATATATATATATATATATATATATATATATATATATATATATATATATATATATATATATATATATATATATATATATATATATATATATATATATATATATATATATATATATATATATATATATATATATATATATATATATATATATATATATATATATATATATATATATATATATATATATATATATATATATATATATATATATATATATATATATATATATATATATATATATATATATATATATATATATATATATATATATATATATATATATATATATATATATATATATATATATATATATATATATATATATATATATATATATATATATATCGAGCGACCTTGGGGAGCGCTGTGTCAATTAATGCACAGAAAGTATAACTGGTATTGTAGTTCACAGTAAGTCAGAAGAACGCGTAAGTACGGACACGGGTGTATTGGGTACACGCGGCCAAACTGGTCCGCTTTCGTGGCAGGCAAGCAAAACAACTGAGTCACATATCCAGTCAACCCACAGCGCTCACGCGAGNTGGATTCAAAGTTAGAAGCCACGACCGACATCGAGCTCAGAAACCCACCATCATACAAGTGATAATCGTTACAGGCTGATGAACAGGCATTATCTGTTGTAGAGACTTCGCTGAGACCGACGGATAGACGTCATGAAAGTGATGATGAAAGTGAAACCGTGCAAGGTCCTTGTATGGTTGAAAAGTGAGTTCGCCAGTATATTTGTTTGCCTAATACATACCCAGTCTGGCGAAAGGATTCAGTCTAGAACTGACCGCAATTATTGTGGATTTATCCAAATATTATCGTAAACTGGTGAGTTTATCGTCAAGTTTACTTCTGTGACACCAACAGGATAACCGTCAGTGAATAAACCAAAGTAAGGAAAGAAGTGAAATTCCTTGAGACCCACCTGTCGTCTAAGCCGATTGATGAGGTCCCTAGGAGAGACCAGGATCAGACGACCAAGGCATTCGGCAACAACCAGGCGAGTACCCTCTTCGGGTAAACCAGAACTAGCCATCAGTAGACACCTGGGAACGAAAAATATGGCAACTGAATAAGAGCTAAACAAAGAGACTCACTTTATGCTGTCGATGATGATGACATCCGCGAACAACATAATTATAAATTCACCTCGGCTGCTTCATTGCAATCGATCAATGGAGCTTACTAGCTAACGGAACAGCTTGACGGCCACGTCAGCAAACTTGTAGACTAAGGTACCCGTGCATGTTACTGTCCAAAAATAGGAGAAGGTAAATCGAAGTGAAGGATTTCCCCGGTAGGGCAACCATCAATCTGGTTACCCATACATGAAAGTCTGCCAAGCAGTTGGTGGCAATTCTCGGAAGAATGGATGAAAAGCGATTAAGTTTGAGCACAAATTTTCAAATGTGATTTACACGTTGCAAATTATTAAAGAAGTAGAGACATCGGAAAGTATACTAAAGCTCTTTTAAGAGGGTTTTATCCTCAAAAACACAGTGGAAGAATTGGTAAGGAATAGCATCCGGAATCTTGAAAAAATAAGTCAGAAAAACGAAAAACTGGCAACGGTTGGAGACAGAAGTAGAGCCACATTTACGAATGGGAGGAACATCGTTGGACACAGTGAGTAAAGGTTGGTCTGAAAGTAAGGGAAAATTCTGTTTCCGCAGGACAAGACAAAGTGATCACGGAAACCAAGGATGTTAAAAAAGGATTAATACTCCCCGAATCCGGGGACCGCAACTGGGCTGCCGACAGACGAATTTGGTACGAAAATTCAGACAGACGGTTACGCTAGCAAACGCCTCAGTGCTTTCGAAGATCGGTGCGCTGGGAGATAAGTGTACTTCTACTGCATCTTCACTAAATCCTGATTGGGAAGATGAAACTGCATTAGGAATGAAACAACAACGATGGTGGTGCTGTTCAACAATTCTCTGCAAGTGCTGTGCTGCCTTGCAGATTGCAGCGGGGTGTGCAAAGGCTGGAGTTACTCCGTCCCCATCGCGAACGAAAGCCCGGGTCGCTGGGGATTTTAACCGTAGCAAAATTCCAGTTATTCAATAAATGGGAAGCTGAAGCGCATGGTTTTATTAGGGATTTGCGAGAGTCCGATGAAACTTAATAGGGAAGAGGGAGGGCATGTCGACGAATCGTTAGGTCAGGGTTGAAGTTGCAAGTTGCAACATAGATGAAAACGGGAGTGAAAGCACATCAAAGAAAACGGAACAACCACCGTCAGTGCATTGCCCATAATAACAAATAAATTATAGTTCAAGAGTAATACCTTTTCGGTGTATAGCTGCCATGCCACCCGAAGGGGAGTACGAGAGCTGAGATAATGCCGAGTTATCCGGGCACAGACAGAATCAGTTGAGATGCAGAGAATGGGTTCGAACAACAAGCCTCCTAGTCACTAATTTGGCGCCACTGAGCTATTTGGAGTTAGTTCATAGTATAGATCGAAAAACGAAGAAATAAGACTGGAGGCAAATTGAGGGTAAAGGGAAGCCTGAACCGAATGGAATGGAAAATTTCAAATAGAATACGAGTGAGGCTGCCGTTATTGATTGATTGATAGCATGTCGGTAGCAGAATCTGCTTTTAGAGTTATGTCGATCATATTTTAGGGTATGAAACCGCCAATGTAGCCAACTGTAGTGCGGGTGCAGAAACTTAAACGATCTGTGTAACGAGACTATCTTAATCCATAGATGAGAAAGTGGTCCGATTGATTCAAGGTTTAGTTGACGTGTAAAATAAGGGACTTGGAACAGCTAACAAAAGAATGTGAACGAAACCTGAGGGAAACAAATGAGTATGTAGATAAGGTATAACTTGAAAGAAAATTATGGTGATCGAGAAAAGTTAGGGTACTTTTGATAGCCAGCCAGATTGGAGGTCCTGTGATCCTCTATGCACTTTGCTGGTGGCACTGCAAGAAATTGTCACTAACTGATGTCAACGTCGTTTGTGTAGTCAGTTTTTGCCAGGAATGTTTGAATATAAGGAGATACATGTACCTCAAAATGAATCTGGCGGTTTGGTATCACGTCTTCTCTTAGTGTACTCTAGTTTTGCTCGAAGGTGGTTTGCAGTCGCATGGGATTGGTCAACAGTGAAGCCGGGGGTGAGACAAACATTGCAAATGTCGCAGCAGCAAACAAGGCAACTCACCAGATATCATCCAGATGCTTTTTCAATAAAGCACTCGTGCTGTATCCGGCCAGATGCACCAAAACCTGTCAATGAGAAGACTCCTTGTGAACTCATCAATCATATTGAGTAGATGCTAAAAGGGGACACTGAGCGGAATTCAGAATTTGTGTGATGATCTGTTGTCATTTTCATTAGACCCGTTCAAATCACCAGATCTGAGCCAAGTTTGCCATGAGAAAACAAAATACGAGAGAGATCTGTGGAGCTGAACTCAATAATGCTAACGAAGAGCCAGAGGCTCACGTTTTTCTGTCTGGTGGATGAAATGTAACAACAGTAAAACAGGTCGTGAGCGGATTTATTTCTTTCATCGAATAAAAGTCCAACAACTAACTTAGGTTCAATTGACCTGCGTGAGAATCGCCACAAGAAAACTGACCGAAAAAGGTGTTGTTAGGTGGAGACTGGCGGTGTGTTGAACCATCAGCAGGACAAATGTCAAGCCCTGGCTAGCTTGCGAGGCTTAGCAGGAAATCAAGAACAACCGACTCGAGCATAGTTTGCTTTGGAGTCAACAATGGCCGTTCTAATTCATCTTTTAGGCGGTTGTGTAAGAAGTAAAGTCAAAAAGCATCCAAAAAGAGAACTGGCATGAGCCGCAGTTACTCCACATCTATTTGGGTAACCTGATTTATCCCAGATACAAAAACAGCACTGTTGATGAGGTGAACGCTATGGTCCAACGACCGAACGTCATTCTTCACCTTTATACAACCCAATAACAAAGAACATTTGCAAAGAAACACGCCTATCACTGAGATAATACACTACCAACAAGTTTATCTCTCTATTCAGAAGGATAAACTAAGTGAATTTTGAAGCTGTGTAGTCGAAACCGAGTATGGCAGGCTAATATTCTGTTAAAACCAATACCAAGAGATATGGGAAGTGTGGGTGGCGGTTTGGTATCACGTCTTCTCTTAGTGTACTCTAGTTTTGCTCGAAGGTGCTTTGTAGTCGCATGGGATTAGTCAACAGTAAAGCCGGGGGTGAGGCAAACATTGCAAATGTAGCAGCAGCAAACAAGGCAACTCACCAGATATTATCCAGATGCTTTTTCAATAAAGCGTTTGTGCCGTATCCGGCCAGATGCATCAAAACCTGTCAATGATAAGACTCCTTGTAAACTCATCAACCATATTGAGTAGATGCTAAAAGGGGACACTGAGCGGAGTTCAGAACTTGTGTGATGATCTGTTGTCTTTATCGTTAAACCCGTTTAAATCACCAGATCTGAGCCAAGTTTGCCATGAGACAACAAAATACGGGAGAGGTCTGTGGAGCTGAACTCAGTAGTGCTAACGAAGAGCCAGAGGCCCACGTTTTTCTGTCCGGTGGATGAAATGTAACAACAGCAAAACAGGTCGTCAGCGGATTTCGTTCTTTCGTCGAATAAAAGTCCAACAACTAACTTAGGTTCAAGTGACCTGCGTGAGAATCGCCACAAAAAAAACTGACCGAAAAGGTGTCGTTAGGTAGAGACTTGCGGTGTGTTGAACCATCAGTAGGACAAATGTCAAGCCCTGGCTAGCTTGCGAGGCTTAGCAGGAAATCAAGAACAACCGACTCGAGCATAGTTTGCTTTGGAGTCAACAATGGCCGTTCTAATTCATCTTTTAGGCGGTTGTGTAAGAAGTAAAGTCAAAAAGCATCCAAAAAGAGAACTGGCATGAGCCGCAGTTACTCCACATCTATTTGGGTAACCTGATTTATCCCAGATACAAAAACAGCACTGTTGATGAGGTGAACGCTATGGTCCAACGACCGAACGTCATTCTTCACCTTTATACAACCCAATAACAAAGAACATTTGCAAAGAAACACGCCTATCACTGAGATAATACACTACCAACAAGTTTATCTCTCTATTCAGAAGGATAAACTAAGTGAATTTTGAAGCTGTGTAGTCGAAACCGAGTATGGCAGGCTAATATTCTGTTAAAACCAATACCAAGAGATATGGGAAGTGTGGGGAATGACAAGAGAGAACTGCTGCAAGACACAGAAAAGCTTACTTCGCGCAAGGCTTGAAGCATATGGTAGAGTTGGTGTTGATGTCCAACCCCACTGGGATCACCCTGTGTGGTGGTAGTGTGCACTGATGCCACTTCGGATATTCGTGCAACCAAAATTGGTAGAAGTGATTGGGGTTGACCGACAACAAGTCGACCTAAGCCCAATGCGGCAGCCGGTCTAACCTCTTCAATGACTGACACGCCATTTGCTAAAACTGGACCTCCTGGAATACTCGAAGTATGGGAAGGTTGAGCTGACAGGGTAGAGATGAAGATTTCGCGGAGATCTTTCCGATCGCTCAAGTCCCTAAGCATGAATACAACCGAACAATACGGTTAGTGGAGAGTTTTTCAAGAAATGTTCTACGCTATGCATTGTTGAAACTACCGCATCACCATGAACGAATTTTGCCCTACGGCAGGTAGCTGAATTTTCATTCTCTGAACCATTTTCAGATATATAGAACGCTGTTTTCTATGCATCTGTTACCTATCAAATATATCGTTTGGTGCACCGTCTACCACAGAGCGCCACCACCCCATAATGGAAGAAGCGCCGTCATGCACCCGAGGCCCGATAGAAAGAGCATTATTGCAGGAATCTGACGTCCGTTCGTTGCAATGACAGGCAACGGACCGCCAGATAGCAGATAGCAATGCAGCACCAGTGGTGAGTGATTACCACTTGGAGTGTTCAGCTCTGCGTAACCCACGTAGATGAGAAGGCGGTTTTACTTTGTCTCAGTTGGTTGAACGAGTGTCAGATAGTCAGAAATGGGCTTTATAAAAAAGGTGAAGTTTTTCACGATTTCCTTTGGAAGATTGAAAGAATTCACGAACCAACTTGTTAGACTTTTGCTGGAGTTGACTCCGTCAGATTCTGCTTTCCGTGAAATGCTGTGCTGTTGAAAAAGCGACCTGGGTGGTTGGTCCTGCAGGATAGTTCACTCAGCGGAGCGTTTTGATGGGGACGCAGTTGACTGATCGGTCACGTATCAATGTGATGAAGGATACTCTACCGCGGACAACAAAATGATTCAGCCACGATATCAGATTCTTAATGATGATTGTGAAAAACTGGACATACCACTTATTTGCACACAAGCAGTGGAACTTCCCCATAGGACGTAAGTGTTCGTGAACTATAGAACTGAGAGTTGGATGATGATGCTAGGTTGATATTCTTTTATGAATACTCCTGCAATGAGTAAAACGAGTGAAATGTGACCGAATAGGACCGAACAGATAAGACCACAAATCAGCCCCCCCGGCACTCGTATGTATGAGACTGGTCCAGCCGCGAGTGCTTTTTCAACTCAAAATTATCACCTCCAACCGAGTTCTTTGATCTGAATCCGGACGACTTTTACCCCGCCTAATAAACGGTGTTAGGAACAAATGAACCACCCATAATTCAAGGGCTCATCTAGGTTTCATGTGAGGATACCCAGCATTAAGTGTATTCCGGATCGGACAGGCGTGGGTTCATTATGAGACCACAACCATGACATGACCAACAAACGATTTCAATCTCTACACAACGAAGAACATTCGGTGCATTTTAAAAAGATGATTTCATACTAAGATGTTGTGCCATGAATGGGGTAGACGGCCCCCATTTCCTATGCCCCACATCGACCAATCCGTCCGTCCTTATAGCCATTTCGTTTCCGGTTTGTAGAACTTGAAAAACGTGAATAACTGATCGTCAAGCCCCTGCTGATATTGCTTTCTCAAACATATTTCTTAGCCCTATTTTCTAAACGAGGATATCGACAAGATACGGTTGTTTATATACTCCTCCGTGCTCAAGGTGGTTGAATTAAACCTCCTAAAACCACTGGGGTATTTTGTCTCTCCTGTGAATCGGAACTGTATCTTTGGCCGTGCCTGACGGAAACTGCTGTTGTGCACTTTCTAAGCTAATGATCATCATCATCGACATGACATCAGTGTTCAACACCGATGCTTCACTGCCGTACCGATGTGGAATGAGAGTATTGTTAGTTGTGTAGGTCATGCTTGTACGAGGGCTGGGATATTGCCAGGGCGCCCACACCTAGACAGGAGGACGATTAGGGTCCTCAACCAAAGCCTTTGACTCAAAAGCCTAACCGCAAGGCAGCGGTGTTTGGCGGGAAATGCAAATGCATTACCATTTCTACGGAACAAGTCGCCACATGTTCCAACCCCCAACCTGGAGGGCCAGGAGACTGTGTTCGTCAGACCTCTAACCATTGACCAACCTGGTATGAGAGACTCTGTGAGTGTCGCGAGACACTCTCCAGTATAGCTCAATGGATCGCTGAGGTGCGCAAACCGTCACACCACGATAAGGTCCAGTCTCTTCGTGACGGACTAATGATCAGACTTAGGAGGAATCTTTCTTGGGGTTACAGTATTAGCTAAAGGGCTAAGGTAAAGCTGCATCATTTTAGTTTCAATTTGCACTGAAAACTGGAGATTTAATGATGTCAAATGTTCGTGATACGTACTGAAAAATAAAAATAAAAAACCAACAGAGTAAAAATACCTACACTTTCCGTCCCAATTCGCCGAGGATTAAGAGATTCAAATAGATTTGGGTGACCGAGGAGTCCTGGTTCTGCAGAATGGGAAAAACAATGGGCAAGTAGGCGACTGCCAAGCATCTGCAACACTGATAGGGTGAATTGAGGATTAAAAATCACTAACAAGCTGAGCACAGTACCCCCATTACCTGGCTTTCTGGTCACTGTTTTTTGTTACGTGTCAGCTCTTTGCAGAGAACAGGCAGCTAAAAATAGACTCGCCTCTCGATAAGGATACTTCTACCGAAAAGCCCAATTGTGTACAAGACGGAGTGGGTTCTCAATTCAGGACAGTCAGGCGCAGTTAGATCCCCAATTATGTGTTGTTAAAGCACCTCAAGAACGGTATAACCAGACCGGTGCGGCCGAGTCAATCTGGCGAGCTTCTCGCAGTAACCCAATGCATTTCGAAGAGCAAGAGACACTAAACATGGCGTCACCGTTACGCATAGATGCATGATGCAGTCATGAGTTCTAGAATAAACGTGCTGAGCAGCGAGCACAATTTGAGTAAAAAGAGACATCTGTAACGCGCTGGTAATTTAATGATACGACAGGCAACTTGGATATACCTATGTGCTGGAAAAACACTACGCAATCGACACAAGTTCTGAGAAACTACTGATATTCCCAGTATGCCAGGCTGGAAGCTTTTGCTTGAAGTGCTACACCTTATTTGACGCAGCGGTCTTGTACGCAGTGAGAATCACTCCCAGTTTCTGGAGAAAAACAACTGCCCGTTCAAGGGCAGTAGGGCGGTTTGGGTGGAACTAATTTATGGAGCGTGGCACATGGTAGTTCAAATACAGTGAACAATAAGCCAGATATCAGAGTCGCCACAGCTCGTTTCTGCCTACCATGCATTGCCTACGAGTTGAATTTGAACGGCTCGCGAAGGCGAACAGTGTTGCTTTGCTGCTGCAGCGGCACACCCTCAGCGGATCCCAAGACAAGTTCATTGAGGACGTGAAAAGTTGCTGCACAAGGTTCAAGGTGACCTAAACAGGTGTACCGACACACAAACTAAACCCAACCGACAAACGCGCCGATACCGTCCCTCCGGTCCCCGAGAGTTTTCTTGACCGCCTTAGCGACGACAAGGTGGAATCCCCATTTAATCCACAATTCTATTGCTTACCACACTAGTCGCGCCCATCGAGCAAGTCGACTAAGGTTACGCATGCATGCTCAGTGCCTCCGCTTTATCCGCCAAGCCTACACTCGTTCACCAATATGAAGCTAATTTCTTTGCCGCAGTGAGCACAGGTCATCAGGATATCGATCCAGCAATCCATTGATCTGTTTTTGGCTCCATAATGTACGTGTAACTGTTTGGTCGATGAAGCGTTTGCTTTCTTGTTTTGTTCAGTCCCAGACAGCCTCTGAGTGAACATCCCTAATTCATGGCTGACGTTTGAGCACTATTCAACCGCATTGAGATAATTCAGATCGACCGGTGTGATTGAACTGCCATGTCTTGTTTTTTGGCCCGACTGGCTTCCCCTTGTGCTAGTGCTGTGTGAATACTTCGCCCTCGGAAAGAAAATACTCGTCCGTTCTACATAATGAGAATCACTCAGTAGATCATACCTGACAGCAGCTCTATTGGCCCCAATGTTATTGAAGTGATTATTCCCGTTCATGAAACTATAATATCCTTGGCACTGATGTTGAGCGATCAATGACACAGTTGTACACATCGGAAAGTATATCGTCCACAACAATGACGAAGTTAGTCAATGAATGAGGTCTTCTCAAATACTTTTGTGAACAATCACGGGCGGACTTGCAGAACTTGCATGCAATTACGAACCATTGCCTCGAGGGGGAGGAGGAGAAGGGGACATCTTCACAGTAATGTGGTAGTATTATTAGAGGATAATCAGTACAGCAGAACGATCAATTACATTATACGCAGTTTAGTTAGCTAACCTCGAACTGCCTTTTCTGGAGAGGTTATGAGACGAATAAAGAGAAGCATACTACACAGTTCTCGCCTATACCTATCTTCCCGGGTAACTTATAGACAAATACGGTTAGACTCAGCGCTCGATTTTGAATCGTAAGGTGGCCACAAATTAAAAAGAAAGTTGAAGATTGGATAACAAGTTCAGATATCTTACCCTGACGGCTGCAATTAGGCGGTCTACAGCGACACCAACGGATGCGACCGAAATGGAAGCTGTACTAGAGGAGGACACAGTAGGCAACTCGGCTAGCAGTTCGGCCACGCACTGAGCAAGACTAGGTAGGGCGTCTCGATGAAGGAGGAAGAGGGAGGTAGAACCCGAAACCACCAACAGCCCACTGCCATTCAGTGGAGCCAGGAGCCGCGACAAGAACAACTAAAATAAGGCAAAGAGACCGGGAGCCGCGACAAGAACAACTAAAATAAGGCGGGGAAAGAGACCGAAGAGGTTATTACACATTCAGTGAATTTTCAAAACATCGGACGAAGGTGCGATGACGACACGAATGGAGCGGAACAGTTCGCGAGAGATTCTTAAAAATGGAAGACAATCTTGCTTCTAAAAGTGAGCACAATGAGCACATTACGCAGCAACTCAGCCTACTTCACACTATGCCCCCCCCCCCTAAATTGTAAAATAATGATCTTAATAACGAGCGTCACTCATTTTGGAGAAGTTGGGCAATGGGAAACGTACAACGTGAACCCATCGCCAAATCGAAAATGTGCTTTTTCATACACCAAAGTGAACGCTATCGAACAGTTGTCAGAAGTAGAGGCAAATGGTGATCTGCGTCCATTCAGAATCCCTAATTTCCTAAGACTCACGAATCGGGACATTCACGATACAGCAAGAGTGTCTTCGAGGCCAGTAGCTACGAAGTTGTCTCTATCATATTTTCGGATTGCTTTTACAGACTACTGAAATTTGGACGCTGTTTCTAACAGCAACATTGTTCTCTCCGTATGGCGACCGCAAACTCAAGTGGAGTGAATTTTCTTTGTTTCTATGAAAGATAACCTTGCTTACAGAACATCCAGACTCTTAGTAACCGTGTCGAGGAGCGATGTAGTTGCTTACTCTCGGAACATTAAGGCCTGGTAAGAAAACAAAAGCAGATTTCCACCCACAAAGGTAAAGTAACCAGCGTAGAAACGTAGAAATGAAAGTCGCGTAAAACCAGCTTACAACACACGCAATACACCAGTACTACACCAAACCGGGCATGAGTAGGTGAAGTAATGTTGCTAATTTCACTCGTCACCCCACTCATTTCCTCACTTGGCCATCCGTCAATGTACTGGTGACCTTATTCTGGGTACACTGTTGACCCGACACAAGTAACTGGAACGTCTCAAACTGTGGATGTCTCAGTCACGTATACTTGTCTAGGCCTAAAAGCGTGCAGTGGGAACACAGATGAGATGTGACCAGTTGTTTTACAGCATACCGACAGTTTGACAGCGTAGAGTCTCACTGGTGAACTCAGAATAGTATGAGACCCAGCTTATGATGTCTACACAGATTTATCAGCATCATTAGATAAATAATATCAAGTGCACGAAAACTGTTGTCGACAAATTCTGACTAAAGCATCAAGTGAAACGGATCGACTATAATTTTCCCAGTTGAGGGTGTATTCTTCGTTGGTTGAAAACCACTATTCTATGTTGAAGATATCACAAGTCAACTGGCTTTGAGTTGCATCATTTCATCAATAGAAATTCTTCTTATTGTTTCGAAGCAGTGTTAGGACTGATATTCTCTACTTTTTATGTTTCTCACTTTATTGTATTCGCAGTCTTTTGTGTGTGCGTCATTAAGCCCCATCGACTTGATCTGACAAAAAATGGGATAATAATGAACAAATCGGAACTGTCACAGTTTGGCCACAGCCAATGTTTAGATTTCGCAAGTCATTCCCTGGCCAAAAACTATCGAACAAGGCTACACGATGGCCTCAACAATTCCTGACGTGCTCGAAATGTCCGATCGACCTAAGGAAAATCGAAGTGGCTGTAGTGTGGTCATTTGCGACAGGAGGGAGAAAGAAGTGAAGAGGATGGTTCGACTGGAGAGTTTGATCATTTAGTAGCAACTGTTCAACGGCGCGCTGAGGCAATCTGAGTTCAAACTTTGAAATGCGAGCTGAGATATCTAAATTTCAAGATCCATTGGGGGAAAAGCTGATCAAACTGCCTAGGGAGCTCCCTTCAACTCGAAGCTTGTGTGCTGTTAAAACTACACACACCAATGCAAAGGTTCGGAAAACCTTCCAAAGGACTTTAGGTATAATCGACAACATTTAGGACGATGCCAGTGGAGCCTACTGGTATTTGTAGGAACTTGGAATGTGAATGACAAAAGCCCACGGACCATAGCATTTGTTGTGCATTTTCATTGTTTTCACCATCATCACGACACACACATCACACAACACCAGATGATAACACTGGTGATTCACTGCCATGCAACTATGTCAATTTAGTTGAATAAAGCTCTATTGTTGGGAAGACAAACTGGGTAGGGAAAGGAAAGGGACCTATGGCAAGCCTAAAACGAAATTCTGAGGTGCCTATATCTCCAACACTCAGTTAGACAAACTGGACAGAAAAGGATCGACAGCGTGAACGCCATTGGCTTCGGTCAGCTGTCAAGTCTCTATTGAAATGTATATACAGAATGGCCACCTTCGACCACCTGAATGATCTTCTTTCTCTAAACCGGTGATGAACAGCTTGAACAAGATGAATTCACAGTGAGGTTTGTGTATGGAACGATGGATTCGAAAGCTAAAGATAGAAGATAGCCACTAACTGTGGAAAAGATGCTTTCAGCTTATGCCATAGCTACGAAACTAATCACCAGAACTAGCACTTGTTGAGACATGCTCATCGCTCCCGATAATCACCTAACAAATACTTCACTGAATTTGTTTTAAACGTTAAAGTAGACAACTGCACAGCGGTGAGACCCACCGTCATGATTCCGCCTTGTTCCTGCCCACTTCGAATCGCGCGTCGACCAATTGCGCGCATGAGACGTAACATAGCCCCCAATGCTTGTCCTCGCAACAGCGGAGAGTGGGCCAATCCGATGACGGGTTGAACAAAAGCATTGGTAGTTATGAACTGGGTGATACGATCATCCAGACCATTATGTTCTGCACTGAATGATTCCAAAAGCAATGATACCAGATGGATAGCCAGCTACAACAGAAAGGGGATTGGTCCGGGTGAACAGTTACCAAATAAAATGTGTAAGAAACCTGTAGGTCAGACGGAAATTTTGTTCACAGATAAGTCAGTTTGGATAAGACTAAGATTTTCCATCACACAGCTCCCTGTTGAGCAACATGCTTCCGAGCTGAAAATAGATCATCACCATCATCACCGACAGCAACACCAGATGAAGATTCTGGTGCTTCTGCGTCGCGCAACAATGTTATTTCATTTGAATAAGGCCTTATAACATGAAGGAGGAAATGGGACGAGAATGGGGCCTAGGGCTAGTCTACAACAAACACCTCCAACACTCAATCGGACAAACTTGGGATAAAATGACAGCATGAACGTCATTAAAATCTATTAGCCACCATATAGCTTAGCGCCTCCAGTCAAGCACAGGGTGGGTCATGAGGACCCCATCCTGGAAGCCGAACAACACAAACTGCACCCAAACTTTTCGTAAGATCATTCCCTTCTGCTATGTTATATTCTGTCCGACTGAGTTTCCGTTACTCCAAAGTAGGCACGAAAAACAACGCTCGTCTTGGCAGCCGGATACTCGACATGATTCATGGTCAATCCATCTTAGCTTTCAATGTTGAATGCATTCTTTGAGTGGAGTGCCATCTGCTTCACCAGAGACTCATTTCCAGATCATCTTATTGCGAATTTGCTGGTTAAAACCGATTCCATTTATATTTCTGAGATGTTGTTGGTCAAAGACTTGAAGATGTCTCAGATCCTCTACCTGAAGCAACCAAGTTTCACAGCCGTAAAATAACAACTCGCACTATAGATCGACCTACGCGTCCTTTGAGACCCAGCGATATGCCTTTTGATACCAGAAGTGGAGCAAATTTGGAAAAACAGCATGAACGTCATTAAAATCTATTAGCCACCATATAGCTTAGCGCCTCCAGTCAAGCACAGGGTGGGTCATGAGGACCCCATCCTGGAAGCCGAACAACACAAACTGCACCCAAACTTTTCGTAAGATCATTCCCTTCTGCTATGTTATATTCTGTCCGACTGAGTTTCCGTTACTCCAAAGTAGGCACGAAAAACAACGCTCGTCTTGGCAGCCGGATACTCGACATGATTCATGGTCAATCCATCTTAGCTTTCAATGTTGAATGCATTCTTTGAGTGGAGTGCCATCTGCTTCACCAGAGACTCATTTCCAGATCATCTTATTGCGAATTTGCTGGTTAAAACCGATTCCATTTATATTTCTGAGATGTTGTTGGTCAAAGACTTGAAGATGTCTCAGATCCTCTACCTGAAGCAACCAAGTTTCACAGCCGTAAAATAACAGCTCGCACTATAGATCGACCTACGCGTCCTTTGAGAACCAGCGATGTGCCTTTCGGTACCAGAGGTGGGGTAAATTTGGAAAAAACAATTGTCTTGCCGTCAGAGATAATGCTACTTCCGAAATACGTATAGCCTTCCACAGCATCGACTGCAACTCTTTGAATTCTTAAATGGATGTTTAAAAACTGTGTCCCGCACCATGCATGACTTTGCATTTTGTCGCAAATGGAGACACACAAGCAACATGGACTGAAGAAGGTCTCCTACGAAAGCCATTTCCGGCTAACGCAACGCAGTCAGTACAGTACAACCGAAACTCATGTAGAGATTGCCCTCAATTAAAAATTACGCCGCTAGAAGGATCGTCTAAGATGAATGAAGTGTATCGAGATGGCTACTTTCATCAGCTTTCAAAAGTACGATAACTTTGATAAATGAACACAGCGCAGTCGCAAACCGATGTGGCAGTACCGCTGTACAGGACACGAATGTTACTGCTATCGGAAATGAAGATCACAATAATGCAAAACCGAGGTTCAGATGGATGCAAGTGTTTACGACTTATTGGAATGATGTTTTCACATTATGCATCCAAAATAACGTGTCACCTGTGGGCCTAGCATGGAAGAAGGAAGAACCACCAAAAACCCGTCATTCACCATACGATCTGCAGTGGTTCGAGTACAGAAAGATGCTCAAGAGTTCCAGCTGTGCACTACGACCTGAGATGTCGTGTGCTACTTACCGATCGATGCTGGAGAATCAGTAGTGGTTAATTGCTATAACCAACAACAAACAAATTAATGCGGGCAGTGACATAAAACCAGCAGCGATAGACCAAAACGATCGATCTAATCAAACCATACTTGGTCTTGTTCGGAAGTAAGCAGTTTTGGTAGCACTTCAAAAACCGTGTCCAAACAGTGTGGGCCAACCAGACCGGGATGCTTCGACCAGATAGTGTAAAGACAACGTAGGGTGGCCAGACGCAAAAGTCGATCATTCTTCGACAAGAAGGTAGCTAATTCGTCGGAGGCTTTTGGCTAGAGGGTAAAAGCATGTAAGGACGATTTGAAGAGAATCAATGTCTCAGTAAGCATAAAACAGGTTATGTAGAGGATCCATTCATTATCACGAAGTAGGTGTGGTCAAATAAGTTAAAGTTTAACCATTCAGCAGATAAGCCTGTTCGGCCATAAGTTTATGACCAAGAATATTCTAAAAAATTAAGTACCCGAAACTTACTAGGAATTGTCTCAAGTTCAGTGTGAATGGTGATCTGGAACGGAAATCGGAAAATCCTAAAATGAGAAACACGAGAACATCTAACCTACGATAAGCGTTTTCAACTTCACCTACGCACAGACATACAATATGATTAAAACAAGAAGCAGGGGTGTAATCATTCATCACAGTTCAATTCCGTTTGCCACTATAAACAATGTACTAAGGGAACTTGGTTCCAGCTGATACGGTCTCCGTCATCGGAAAACGGGAGGAGGATGGAAGAGATGCAACCAAGCATTGGAAGTGATGGTTCGACCAGTTACTTAGAGTTGAATCAGTCTAATTGCTTGCAGAAACGGGAGACTGGGTAGCTGCACTTCTGACAACGATCCTTAACAATGTGGGTGGATAATAGGCATCAGGGAGAAAAATGGTAGGGAACTCTTCGAAATTAGCCATCCAAAATGAACCCTAGCCTATCGGCGTAATGGTGGAAATTAAAACGAAAGTAATGTCAACCTGCGCAAAATGCAGCAAATATGGGGCACCAGAGTTCAAACAATATTACTGCCACACAATAATGCCAAACTAGATCCAGCTGCGTGTCCACAAATCGATGCACAGCTGAGTCCAAACAGCTTCTGTTTACAACTGCATCACAAGGCGATCGATGAGCCACGAAAGGCTCATTGTTGAGATCTGCTTAAATATAAACCAAATTTGCTAGTATAAGTAAAATATATAGTTCAACCGTTGCGAGAGGTCCCATAAGTGGGTGTGAGCGACGACAGAGATGTCTATCACAATGCAACCGAGCTGCCTGGCACGATTACACTAACACACTTAGTAGAACAGAACAAAGCACTCCAAGAGGCAAACGAAGAACGGTCTATGTGAACATCGGGCTTGGAATCAGTCGTAACAGCAGATGGCACCGAAGTTGGGCACATCTTCTTTACCGTCTATTTCCTCAGCCTAAACTTTTATCAGCCCAGATAATACAATTAATTTCAAAAAGCCCACTGTATACGATGGTATCCCAAGTAAACCGAAGTGAATCAAACCAAAAAGAGCGGGAGGGAAGTGAATAAGCGCTTAGGTTTAAGTTCCGAGTGACCCATAGGACGCGGACATAAACCACCACACACCAAAAACACTTCAAAAGATAGCAAGGACGGCAAAGTCACGCTACACAAAAAAACAATACATACACCGAAATGATGTGGATTGCGCGGACGGTTGTGAGGCGAGTAAGTTCGTTGGTGAGTCGACGATACAGCACTTCCAAGCATTGTTCCAAACGGTCTGCTCCAATCAAGTCACCCAGTTGATTGATGAAAACCGCACTGAATCGATGGGATAGGTCACAGAAAAGAAACATCATCAGTCGAAAGAGCTTAGTGGTGGACACAATGAGAGCGGTTTGTTGCTTCATATACACCAAGACCGACCTCGGAATAGCTGTGGTTAAGGCACGAACTTACTGACCGGAAGGCCTTTGGTTCCGATCCCTCTGCATCTCGAATGCTTCTATCTAAGCCTGGGCAGCCTGGCAGTATTTCAGCCCTCGTGGTTCCTTCGGGTGGCATGGGAACTATGGTCCCAATGGGTTTTACAGCTGAACGATTATTATTATTGGTTGCCCGTAATGTTGTATTGTTATAACAGTAACACAGCCTGGTTTTGGCGTCCTTTCGGTACACGAGTGGCACACAATACTTGGGAAGAGGTTGGTACTGCAAGTACAAACATGGACACAAACAACCGAACATGGGGACTAGTTCACGAGCTTTTGGTTAAAAAACGATAATCTTCTGGTCTAGACTGATATCTAAACGGTCGTCCAAACTTAAGAGGGCAGCCCACAATGCGCAATTGGAGTGTCTTGGTGAAACTCACGCTGAAGTCACTGCCTTCTCCTTCAGCTCAAGGTCCCGCTCGTTAGCCTCGAGTAAAGTGTAAAGTGGAGCCAACAGTGTCTGTGTTTGTCCTTCTTGACCTAAAACGACAAAAGAGACAGAGTAAGACGGGATGCATATCAACATTGAATGATTATGGAGAACACTGAGCGTAAGTGTAGCATGACAGCGACACGCCAATAATGACAGTCATGTTGCTGCTTGAGATGATGACGATGGCCAAGTCCATATGAGAAGGAGCATGACAGGGCATGTTGTGCCACCTGCGCGACTCACCCGTCAGCTTGACTAACGATAACCCTAGCTGATTAGCTTGATACAGTAGGAACGGCTTGATTGGGCAGGGTAACTTGGCAATCCGATAATAGCTAGAGGAAACCTACCATAACTGATGACTAGAATCACAGTTCCGAATCATGAACAAGAATATCCAAAACTGTTGAATGGTCGGACCGGCGACTGTAACCTATCAGTGCCAGGTCGAACTGCATGGATCATGAACAGGAATTAAGGAACGTTCACTGTCATCTGGGTGGCACACCTTGCCCACTAAATGCGTCAGTCATTAGAAGAGCTTCTGATGACAAACGATTACTGTTGATGTCCGTGATGATAGCGAGAAAATTTCCACGTTTGAAGGGTGGTGAAAAACATCCATAAACTTCTGTATGTTAACATAAAGCGCGGTGGATTACCCTGCTGGTGTTCTAAACAGAGCAACGACCTTGCATATTGAAGGTGTGATTAGCATAAGTTTGCGAGCAGCAAGTTGCGACTAGCTCCCATCAATAAAAGATCGGAACCACGATTGGGACACCACCACCTCTCGGGATATATTTACCCACTGTAACAACTATTTCGCTAGGTTAGTCGGGTGCCAAGGCTAATGCAATGAAGAGACTGTCTGTAGGATAAGCCATTTATTAAGACTAGTCAAACAATCAGTAAAGCGATTTAAACATGATTGGAATTCCCATCCACGTAACAGTCGGCATCGACACGAATGTAATGTGCACTTGCCGTCCATTGGATGCCATATTCCGAATAGAAGCCGGATCTACGGATCTTTCCGAACCATCCGATTAAGAGGTATGCCAATACGCCTGACGGGCTCCGACATTCCTCAACTGTTGACGTGAACCATGTCATGGGACGCTCTGATGGCAGAACCCCCAGAACCAGTATTTGTTTGGTGTTCAGATCCATCTGTGGATGCTGTTGCCGTGTAGCTACCGTCCGGATCAGGCGACCAGCCTGAAACCGAGAACATTCGTTTGGTTCTCCCATGTAGGCTCGCTCATGTGGCTGCAGTCCTACCTACATAAACAGCAAGACGTCGTGATCATTGGTGGCAAATTTGGGCCAAACCGCAGGCAGCACAGAAAGCAGGGAACTCGCCCTAAACTAGGTTAGTAATAAGTCAGATAAATAATGCTTCGTGAAAGTGAAAAAACCGCTTCCGTACAATTTGGTGTTCGAGTCAAACCATGACCGATGGAAACTCGAAGGTTACAACTACCGGATGGGCCTCCAACCGGTAGCGGCCTGTTGAAGACTGTTCGTCAACCTTATATCAAGGAAAAACAGAGCGAGATACGCGCCCGTGAACATCATAGGGAGAAAACGAAAAACATACATACCTAGCTGTCGTAAGTAGCATGATAGTATCTGGGTTAACTCCAATCCCTCCAGGGCAACACGATAGAATGGATCGTGCATTGCCCAAAGAGCAAGCTAAAAGGAAGAAACCAGAGGTAACCGGTAAACAAAAGGTGGTATCGAGAATGAGTGGCGATTAATTGCGTAAGCCAGGAAGAGTGTAAAAAGCAAAGGAATATCGCTCACTTGGACCAGAAGGTTTAGGTTGGACGTGAAGCATACCGGATTATGGGTGCCCAATAGTAGAACGACAAGGTTGACCATATCTATTTTTACTGTATTGTTGGTGGTAGGATCTCTGCCAGAGAATGAAGAATACATCGTACAATGATTGGTTTGCGCGAAATAGCCAGTTTTATATAAACGTCAGACTAAAGCCTAAATGAACAGGGTCTTGTGAAAAAAAACTGAGGTGCCTACCTAGAGAGAGCATCTTTGGGAGCGGCCGAAATTCAGCAAATGCGCTCAGTAACAAATCAGTGCATAACTCCTTACCAATTCCCCCCACTCAACAGCCTATCTACAGTGCTGTATTTACGCACTAATTTATCAGCTCCCGCCTCCAATGCGCAGCTAACTACCTCACCTCCCGTTTACGCACTAATTTATCAGTGTGGCAGCTACAACCACTGTACGACAAGTACGTGGTGATTACAGCTGCTGCTGCTGATGATGATGATGATGATGATGATGATAATGGTGATAACTGACACCCTTTCAGTGCATAGCCACCAGGCTACCCGACGGAACAACGGGATACTGTCAGGTTGCCCAAGCATTGACAAGAGCAGTCGAGATGCAGAGGGTGAGTTCGAACCAGAGCACTCGGTCAAAAAGTTCACGTCTTAGCTACTAGGGCAGCCCGATTTCGTTCAGAAATAATAAATCGTTCAGCTGTAGCCCCCTTTCGGTGCCTGACTGCCATGCCACCAGAAGAAAGCACGAGGGCTAGGATACTGCCACTTGCCCAAGCCTAGTCAGAGGAAGTCCATAGGCAGAGGTCGAGTTTGAATCATGGACCCTCCGGTCAGTAAATTCGCACTCTAACCACCGAGCCATCTCGTCAGATTTCGACAAAAGGTTGACATAAACTTGAAGGCTGCGTCTACCTGAGGGCGAAACCAGCCGTGAACAATCGGATATGTTTCACCGGTCTTATGGTGGAAATGATTCCTCGTGGGGGACCCAGCGATTTTTTACACTAGAGTAATGAAAAGCGGTCGTGTACAGCTGCATTAAACATGCAGTGGAATCGCTCCGTTTGGAGTTAGTGGACTAGATAATCAGCAGCCCCATCCCATTGGTCAATAGTAACCAGAATGTTTTGTGTCGAAAACTCATATGAGGAAGACAAAACAAGGGAATTCTATTCCAGTTAAAATTGATGAGTCAACAGTTATCGAGCTGCTCCATCCATCGTTCCACATTGTTGTTTTGACAAGCTTCAAAGAGTTTGTATGTACATCTCACGCTAAATTATCGACTGCATCGAATGCAGCTCGGTAAACGAGGCTGTTCACGTGACAGGATAGCCGGAGGCAGTGCGCATGACAGTAACCACTCAATATGATAGTGCCAGGTAACTTTTGGTTCAATCGCATGGGACACGTCATCATCGACAGCACGACATCATTGTTCAACACCGCCACCAGTGGAAATGAAGTAATGCATTAGCTTAGCCACACGCAAGCTTCTTCGGTTAACCGTAGATCCGTCCTATCATCATCACCACTGACAGCATGCCATCAGTATTCAACACCGATGCTTCGCTGCTGTACAACCATGATTTATTTCAAAGCCTTATTGTGAAGAAAAGAATAAAGGTTGATGGGGAAGGGACTTAGTGCTAGCTTACAACAAACATCCCGAGGTGACTGCACCTCCAGACATTTACTCAGGCAATCTGGACAGAAACTGACAAAAAGATCGCCACTGACATCAGCTGGCAGCCACATCTTTCAGTGTCTCCAACCAGGTGCGGTGAGGATCACGCGGTCCCTATCCCGTAAGACGAGTAGCACCGACAGCACCCAAACTTTTCTTGATTTCTTTCATACCCCTCTGCCAAGTCAAAGGTTAGCCACTTCTCTGCTTAAGCCACTCTGAGTTAGGCATGGGAAACAGCACTTTCTCCGGCAAACGATGGTTAGGCATACGAAGCACATGTCCCAACCAATGCAGCTTCTGGTGCTGGACACATTCTTCAATGGAAGTACCCGTTACACAACCGAAAACTCGCTTCCTAATTGCCTCGTTACGGATTCGCTGACACCAACCCACACGTCCGAGACAACAATTGTCGAACACTTGAAGACGTCTCAGGTCCGCTGCTCGAACAGGCCAAGTCTCACAGCCATACAAAAAACAGCCCGCACTATAGTTTGGTACACACGTCCCTTGAGATTCAGGGACACATCCATTTCCGTACTTCTCTTTGGCGCATAAACCATTCATCTGGAGAAGTAAAAAGTGCTTTCTGTTGTTTTAGGGAACTGGTCTTCTCGAAGAAGGAAGGCAAAAAAGTTACATTCCACCAGATTTCTCCTTAAGGAAGCAGTGCCAGAAAGATTGTGGACCTCCGGGAATACACCAATCCAGCTAATCTTTCGAGACGCAATTATAACCACTACAATAAACCAAAGCCGCATCCCTGCCTTAGTTTGGCCCCTTGCTCGCCGATGTACAGCGAGTAGGGAATGATCGGTTGTATACTGAAAGTAATAGCTTAGTTGCACTGCTATCACGATCTGTCCAAAGGTACCTATGTAGTATCACATGGAAACATCTCTGGTTGAACAGTTTATCATAGACCCACGGAGCAACTAATCTGAATAAGGTAAGGAGTTAAGTTTTCATTTGTGGCTCTAGATGGTCACTTTCTCACGACGACGGACATAATAGTCTGATAGATTAACGAAATAACAGGATAGTGGGTAAAGTACCAATAATGTGACGACGAAATCAACTTCCACAACCAATGGTCATGATGATGGCTTTGCTCAAAAGATGGTCTATCTATGAACTCTGTCAGTCAGCTGCAGGATGTGTGAGTAGCTTCCTCATAAAAAATCACGTGAACTAGTGCATAAAACAAAGCGAAAACAACTTACTGAGAGTAAGTATGTATCAGAGTGAAGATGTTGTTCAGATGCTCACCCAAATGACCTGGAAGAGCGAGTGCCAAGTCACGATTAAGCATGAACGCGACGTGTTGAATTCCAGGCGCGCCCTGAACGACAAGAGAAGTTATCGCAGAATTGTGAATGTAATCGGTTTACATACTGTAGCACCAATTTCGCCAGTTCATTGTTAAACATTGGTTGAAAACGTGACGAAGAACGGTATGGGAAAAGAGAGATTCAAGTGATGTCAAGCTAGGTTTCCTATGAGCATTAACTTAGTCTGCAAATGTGTTTACCGTAACAGAATGGAAGACGGATTAGCGTCCGAAAACATCGCTAATTCTCTTTCTCCTTAGGATGGGAATCCTCCAGCTGAGAAACACAGAATAGAATGAACACAGCCGAGCGTACCTAACTGAATCAGACAGTTGAAATAACCTCACACCACATTGATCGTCGCAGGTCGTCTTACTTGCGCCACTTCCATGGGTCCGTTCTTAGGGACCGACATAACTATTCGCCATCCAGTGTCGTTAGCTGCAGTAGCCACGTCTAACTCGATACTCCAAAATCATCATTCGAATCCCATCGCTCAGTTCATCTGGCAGTCTTTAACGTTCACACTCTGAAACCAGCTGGACAAAGAACAACTCTTCCTTTTACACTGGGTTCACTTCCTAGTGACATTTGAAAGCATTCATGACCCAAGTGCAATTGCTGAGCTGACCACCCCATAGGTCTCCTTAGGCTTTTGGTTGTGTACTTTTTGTGGTTCAGGTACCGTCAAGGCTGGTTCAACTGGAATTGGTACCTTTTAGGCAATCGGGTCGAAAGGAATGTACTGGAATGGTCGCCTGTTCATATGGGCGGTTCGTTTCACAAAGCTCGTGAAAGAATCCTGTAAAAGCATCGATAATAGCTGCCTATTCATTGTACCAAGATTGTAGCTCTGATACACCCAAAGCTACGTTTTCTGACGCTTTCAAAGCCTTGCTGCGGCACTTAGATAGTGTTGTGGTTTAAGCGGGTACGAATGCATATATAGGTATATTTAGCGCGGCTGAGACTATTGGGCGGTTGTCTACGACTGGAATCAAGATGCACAAAAAATGACGAAGTCTGCTGCAGTTATGTGCTGACCACAGACTGTTTCTGTGCAATACTAACTTCCGAAACAACTGAGGCCACCTGGCCACACTGTGCCCTTGTGACACACTCCACATCGCCAATACCTATAGGCAGCGCCGGCGAGCTGCTGATTGCGGCTCGTTCTGAAAGAATCATTGTAGATTGTAATCACACTCTTATCCGTTGCTGCAAGATGCACACAGATTCGCCATTGAGAAGCTATGAACTAACGTGGAATTTAATGTGGAGCAAACAAACTACTAAAGTGTTTTTAGACGATAAATTTGACATCGACCGGCGCAAGCAGAGTGGTGGTCGTTCTCTGACCTGGAATAAGGGTAGGAAAGATATCACCAAAAGTATGAATAATGTCAGTATGAGTCGCCTTCGAGGATAGGGTCCGCGCGATGCTCTATTGTATGGTTGAAAACGCTGCAAGGCATGGATACTAATCGATATCCGTTTCTACCCAGGTTGCCTGAATCAGTGTCTGGAGGCGTAAGGCCCTTGAAATGATTGTGATAGGCCATTGCCAGGCTTCTTACCCATCCACTCTTATTCTTTACGGCGGCGAAGCATCCGTTTTGGCTACTAACGTCATGCTACCGATGATGATGACGTCGACTTTTAATGGGAAGCAAAACTCACAACCCTAAATATTTCAGGGAGTCCTGTTTGTAGAACGGTGCAAAAGAGAAACTTCGGACACGCATTCCTCCTGGAACATGAGTCTTGGAATCCTCCTTTAAGAAAAAGTAAACAGTGTCCCCTGTCCCCGTCACTGTGGAGTTTACAAAACACATATGCTGTAATATGTTAATGTTTTCTTTCACTCTCTTCAGTCGCATGTCAGTCGAAGTAGAAACAATGTTCAACAGGTCGATTTCTGCCAATCACCTGATCAGTGCACGGTAGCCAAGCCGTTTGATTCCACTGTTTTCATGCACATAGTCTGGGTTGGTTTGATTTTATCAATAGCGCTTCGCTTATTGAAAAGACCTTCAGGTGTGTGTAGCGCAATACGGTTCGTAGTCCACTGCAGTGGGGTGACCAGGAAAGGAGTCTTTGGTGCACTCAAAGAACACATTAGGCGCTGAAAGCTAAGGTGACCGGGCCGTGTATTATGCATGTCGAATTACCGGCTGCCAAGACGAGCGCCGTTCTCCATGACTAATCCGAAGTGGCGGAAACTCAGAGGTGGATAGAATACTACATGGTAGAAGGTGGTGATATTTCGAAGAGTCGGGATGCTGTTCGCCTACCAGGAAGGATATAACGTGGCTTGCCTGAGAACACTGTAAGATACGACAGCTAACCGAAGTCAGTAGCGTTCATGTTATCCGTTTCTATTCAGACTGTCTAAATGTGCGTCGGGAGTTTAGGCCACTTAAATAAATGTTACGCTACACCTAGGTCCCTCTCCAGGTCCCACCCATATTTGTTTTCCTTTATTCAAATTAAAATGCATGGTTGCAGGGCAGTAAAGCACCAGCGTTTACCTCTGATATACTGATAATGATGATGACCTGACAGAAGGACAGGCTGGTGCCATAGGCAGTGTTGTGCTGTGCAATGGTACACCCAGAGCCCGGTGTTCACTTGCGATTTCTCAAACTTTTGAAGCCCTAAGAGCAGATTACCAATAAGAAGGTGAAACCCTGACTTACATTTTAGTTGACGCTAAATGGTAGCTACGTATAAACCGGACGACGTGTAGTAAAGCCGCCAGAAGAAATGAAGTAATGCATTAGCTTAGCCACACGCAGTCTTCGGTAAACGGTAGATTCATCATATCATCATCACCACTGACAGCATGCCATCAGTATTCAACACCGATGCTTCGCTGCTGTACAACCATGATTTATTTCAAAGCCTTATTGTGAAGAAAAGAATAAAGGTTGATGGGGAAGGGACTTAGTGCTAGCTTACTACAAACATCCCGAGGTGACTACACCCCCAGACATTTAGTCAGGCAATCTGGATAGAAGCTGACAAAAAGATCGCCACTGACATCAGTTGGCAGCCACATCTTTCAGCGTCTCCAACCAGGTGCAGTGAGGATCACAGCCATACAACAAAACAGCCCATACTGCAGCTTGATACACAAGTCCCTCGAGATTCAGGGACGCATCACTTTGACGACATTGCTATCACAAATTGAAAACGCGACCCGAGCCCTGCAGATTCGTGCACCTATCTCATCTGTCACGCTACAATCAGGACTAACACAACTTCCAAGATACGTAAAACGATCCACAACCTCCAGTACCTCTCCCTGGATTGTAAGTGGCGCGTTCAGTGACTACATGTCCACGAGCAAGACCTTACACTTTGTGGGTGCAAAGTGCATGCCAAAGGACGGGATGACTTTGGTCAGTTCATCCAAGAATACTTGCGCCTTCTCTTTCTCCTCGAAATGAGAAAAGTGTCGTCTGTATATTCCAGATCAACAAGGTTTCGTCACAGGCCATTTGATCACCAGAGTTCTGGAGGCCTTCCAGCGTTCGTCCCATGATTTCGTCGATCACTAAGTTAGATAGGAATGGAAAGACCGGGCATCCCTGCTTTGTGTACAGAAGCCTTTGGAGAGCTCGCCGTATACTCTCACACGTCCAGAAGTCTGGGAATAAAAAGATATAATTATGTTCACAAATTTCCGGGACATTTCTTGGTGGGCAACCATGTCAAGAAGAACAGACCGGTCAAACAAGTCGAATGCGCCTTGGAAATTCAGGATCATTACAACTGTGGGTCGCTTATACGTATTGCCTTGTTCTAGCACCTGACAAAGTGTGAGGATTTGGTCAACGCAACCCCTACCAGGCCGGAACCCCGCTTGCAGCTCTCGAATCAATGTTTCAGAAGCCACCGTAAGCACCAGTGACGCCGACAGTCATCGGATTCAACCTGACCCTCTGTGGTTACCACAATCACTACCATCCTCCCTTTTGGAAATGGGCACTATCGCCGACTGTCTTCAGTCATCCGGGACGGACTCCTTTTCTCCTTTTCTCTCATGAGACAAGCGCTGACTGAGGACTTACCCCCATCTTTGAACCATGCGGATGGGAGGTCATCCGGACCGGAGGCTCGCTGGCGCTTGCGAGATATATAGTCATAAACCTACCAGGCCGTATACGGTTCCACGTTCACCGTCAAGAGTTCTACGTCAGACGGGTGTCAGCTGGTGGCCAAGCCAATTGTTGTCCGAAGTATTCATTCCAACGGCCGGGGCGTTCTTCATTCAAGATGGTCATTACCTCCCGATCCTTGATGGTTTAGCTCACACGCAGTGTCCGCTGACCGACCGAAGGGATTAACTGGACTAATCTTTCGCTTTCTGGACCTCTTATATTTCCTTGGGTTTTTGTGTCCACCATCAACATTATTAGCAGCTGCAAGAACCGCGTACTTGTCCCAAGTGGTCGCAGCTACCACAGTTTCCTTCACCGATGATTCGGGGAGGTGGGGTAGGTAGCTGCGCATTGGAGGCGGGATTTGATAAATTGGTGCGTAAATACAGCACACTAGGTGGACTTTTAAGTGGAGGATTAGAAGGGAGATATGCACTGAAGGCAATAGCTTGGATGCATGAGCGTCATTGAGGGCGCGACTGAGCCATGTTTGACAATGTCTCTAACCATTGATGTGGCCCGTCAGAATAAGTGCTAGATCTCCTTCCTGAACTTGAGAATTACGGCAGTGAGGCGTCGCTTTTGAACACTGATGTCCTGCAGTCGATGATGATGACTTCTGTCTACTCACCTGATAAAACGTCCATTCTTATCCATAGAAATGATGCGCGTCGCTGTGTTATGCCCACCATGACAATATCCTGGCATCTGTGGCATCGAAGCTGTCTAAAAAATTGAGGAGCAGATTCTTGAAAATCATGCTGGGTTTCGTCCTCTTGAAGGAGTCGTCGCTCGCGGATTCACTCTTCCAACAGATCTTGGAACAGGGGTACTCCATCCCGTGACTGTCGTTTTCGTTTGTTGGCTTGAAAGCTGCCTTTCACTTGATTGTCCTTAAAACGCTGTGCATTAACTCCAATAGACGCGCGAGGAAATGCGCTAGGTTCTTGTCCAAGTCCACTAAATCAGGTGGTGTCAGGCAAGTTTTGCTCTTTCAACTTTTGTCTCCAACTTCGTCGTTGATGTCTCTGTGGGGTCAAAATGCTCTCAGGGCGTTTGCAGACTTTGAGTAGGCAGAAGACATAGCTCTTCGTGGACATGACGTAATCGTCATGCAGACGATATTAAATAAGCTACATGATTCTCACCGCTTGGCGTCCGCTTCACACTTGCACAGTATAGAGTGCTGCTGCTAACCTGCGTAAACTGGAACCCGGACCTTGTGCTTACGGATGAGCCGATTTAGGTAGTAGACAGATTTGTTTACCCTCAAAGCTGTATTTAGAGGCTGGTAGTGAGTCCTCCATGATCGCATCAATGACGAAGTTGAAGAAGAAAGGTGAAAGAGGACAGTCCTGTTGGATACCACTTGATGTGGTGAACTCAGGCGAGAGCTTCCCGTAGACCTTTACATGGCCGCGGGAGTTGGCCTACGGCGCCCTAAGAAGGGTCAAGAATTTATGGGGGACACCTTTGCTCCACAGAGACTGCAATAGTGCCTGACGGTCCACAGAGTCAAAGCTTTGAAATCGAGAAACACAACCATTGTTGGTTGGTGGAAGCAGTGTTGCTGTTCCATAATTTGTCGGAGGGGAAAGATATGATGGATGCACCCTCTTGAGGGACGGAACCCAGCTTGGTTTTCACGGATCTGTCTCTCCCTGTGTTCAGTCAACCTTTGAAGGATGAGACCAGGGAGCACCTTCGATGCCACAGCTAATAGGCTGATGCCACGGCGGTTTTCATACAGCGTACGCGCACCCATTTTGGAGATAGGAATAACTGTCGACATGCTCCATTCTACAGGCACCTTCTCTTTGTTTCGTATAACACCAATAAGCTTTGTCAAATGAATGGCTAGGAGCTCTCCGCCTTCTTTGAACAGGACTGGATACAGATCGTCCGGTCCTGGTGCCTTCTCACGTTTTAACACGGATATTTCGTCCTTTACATTTCATTCGCCTGTATGCACTATCTCTACAGGCTGTGTTGCAAGAGGCCAGCTGAACTATTCTTCGAAGCGTTCGGTCCATCTTTCAAGTCGACGTTTTAGCGAATGAATTGATGAGCCATGTTTTTCACTTATCGTTTGGCTCGCCGTTGATTTCCTAGGGCCAGTCCGCCACACTTCACAGTCGGACTGCACGCTCACCTTCACTTGACGTTTGATAGTTCATCGCATCACGTTATGTTCGAGGTAGGCTGGGTATTTCTCCGAGATTGAAGGATTGCCACCGTTCGGCCTGATATCCAGTGCTTGAGTGAGCCTGGTGGTGCCGTGCCACAGGAAGAATTTCCAGCACTATATGGTAGATGCAGACAAGGGTCGTTCGGTCGTGGTATCTTTTTGGTGCAACCTAAGGAAGATGGCGAGTCCATTCCCTTGATGTCGTGTCCTAATGTGACAGTACGTTCAGTGTTTATTTTGGTACCGAGGTGCCTTACTCTTGACTACCTTCTCACGAAACACAGGGAATTTTACACCGAGTCCTCACCCGTGCACGTTCTTGTTATACTTTCTTGAAAGGCCTGTAGAGCAGTTGAGTACAGTGACCAGCAAACCACTATAGCAAATAGTTCAGTAGCAAGTTTGGTGTAACGTAGAACACAATAAAGCGAGTTACGGGTGATATTCAGTAGGGGGAAGGGATAATAGGGGACAAGCCACGGAGTTGCATCTATCACGGCAAAAGCAGTTCGAAGAATACTCACACGACTAGATGCCGCTCGTCTCGAAGTAACAGATGCTTGTCGTTGAACAGCTTGACAGATTGTAGGCAGTAACGCAAGTAGACGGGATTGTGCACTATGTGAACAGAAAGAGAACAAAAGAATAGATCAGACTAATCGGAAGGTATGAGAAGTGAATCGATCAATAAAACCAGTGGTTGAGTGGAAATGCTTCAGCCCAGATAAAACTCAATGGGCAATGTCTTGAACAATTCTCTCGTTAAGTATGTTCTAATAATGAGTATCCACTTGAAAAGCTGACGTAGCATAATCCGATACTGAACTATCGAACATAAAACTGAATGCTGAATAAGAAAAAAATCACCGGTGACCTTTTGGTATTAGTGGTCATTGCAAGAGATGCGCAGAAGGACAGAGTGGATATACTTCTCTCAGGAACAGGAATTTTAGTTGTAAGTTCCGGTGACAAATGGGTGTAACATTGATTGGCTAGGCATAACGGATTACACGAAGAGAGCACACCCACCTCTCTGGGTCCTTGAGTTGGGCTGCAAGTTCATGCAGACATGCTTGAGAGATGGAACAGTCCGGAGATGTTGTCCGCGTGTGTAAGTGAGAATAATTCATGTGTTGATGATAGTAGGACTCGGTTACTTTAGGTTGACTGTGGAAAGAAACACTACTTGCGGATGGTGTGATGCGTGTCTGACGAAGGAGGGTGGCAAAACAGGAGAAAATGTTCAACCGGACAGGCTCCTCATGATCTGAAAAAGTGCCGGAATGATAGAAGGGAATGAGACAAAACTAAAACGAATACTGACAAAGGTATCAACCTAGGGTTACACAACTGATTCGCCGGACTAAGAGGCCACGAGCGGAGGTGCCCTAAAGCTTCATGTTGCCAAAGCGACTTCGTTAATAAAACGAAAACCGATAGGGTTGTAGCTAATTGGAAACATGAAATTCAAGCGACGGCCTTGTAAATTGCCACGATACTGTTGATAACCGTTTGCTGCTATATACAGCAGAGTTCGAAACGATGTCAAACAGTTCCATAGAAGGCAAGATGGTTGCCACCTACAACGTAAGCGAATCGATTTGTAAACGAATGTAGACTAGCCACCTATTGAAAATGACTTTTGGGGAAAATTGATAGCTGGCCACTAACTAGAATTTTCCAGACAATCGTGCCGACTGAACAACTAATAAATAGCAGCAAAAACATGCAACATTGGGCTATCCCACCCCGGGAGAGACGAATACAAATATTACGCTGAACTGAGATTGCTGAAACGATAACGACTGACAGAGGATATCAACCCGGGTAAACCCGCTAGCATGGGTGCGGAACGCCAGTGTAGCCACACAAGGCACAAACAACCACTGGACAATCGCGACACCTGATCGCAAAGCATGCTGAACCACAAAAACGTCAACGTCAGCATTAGCATTAGCAGACTGGGAAAAGTCTGTTGCACCTCAGAATGTCAGCCGCTCCACTAGAGCTCCAGCTCCAGGCCGTGGACAGAATGTCATATGGCGAAGGAAGCGTGCTGAACAGTGCTCTTGCAGCAGAGCACAATACCACGGACACAGATAAACCAACAACCATACACTGCGCGGGGAACAGGATCGTTTGGTGTATTTGGCAAACGACCGGGTAGTCGACACACAGGGTGTGTGCCGGCGTCGGCTCATCCTTGTCACCGACCAACTACGCTTGCTCCGCGTCACCGGATCAAGCACAAACTCTTACGGCTGACCCCCCAAGGTCTTGCCAAGGGGTGCCCCGTGGTCAAGCCGCTGGTCTGTCACCAAGACCATCACTGTGAATTGGCACACGTTGCCCAAGCGTGAGTCCGAAACAACCACATTCATTGTATATACAGGTCGACACCCTGTGCCGACCTAAACATGCAGCATTCGGCTATCCCACCCCGGGAGACGAATACAAATATTACGCTGAGCTGAGATTGCCGAAACGATAATGTTTAGTTAGCAGGATGGTCTTTTTACCACAAAAGATGGAGTAATTTAGTGAATATTTCAAACAAAATACCGTGAGCTCCTCGACTAATTCATATAATCACCGAACTACTGATGAACACTCAGAAAGTTTCCACTAATAAGTCATCGGTCCTAGCAGGAGACCCGATAGTTATCAAGCTACGGGCTTGGAAATTTACCGGGCACCTTAGACAGATGCGTGGTTAGACCTGGAAAACCTCAACCATAATAGCTCTTCCGTCGTTATTGGGACCCGTCAGATAGGCTCGAAATTTGACTGGAGGTCCAGGGTAACTGTGGTCGAGCCTTGACAACCTTGGCCAAGTTTGGCAAATTGTTCAACCACCCTTCTTCAATTCATACGGTGTCCATCTCGAGTTTCGACGGCTCTAAATGAGATTACTGAATTAACTGTTGTGCAATCGAACGCGTCCTTCCCATTCGCGTAGGTATGAGATTACTGACACCGACCAACACCAGCAACGGTTTGAAGTATCAGCGGTTGGGAAACCCGCACGGCCAACGACCGTCTACCAGAAGGGGCCATATCTTGCAGATATACAGTACAGCCGCCACTGTAGCCAGGTACACGCGTCCCTCGAGACGCAGCGAGATACCGTTCGATACAAAGTATGCAGGTCGTACAACTCGGCTTTCTGAGACACATCAGAGAAAGCACGAGCAACCGCTGACAGAGGTGTACCACCCCACAACCTTCAATGCTTCTCCTTGAACTACAAGAGGTACGTTCACAGATTGCACATTCCGGAGCATGCCTAGGCACAAATGACATGTAGAAGGATGGTGTGCTGATAGCAAGCTTGTCTAGTAACACCTGCGCTGAGTGTGCACGCATTTGAAAGTTAGAAGGTAGTTTTCAGTCTCAGGAGCAACAAAGTGGATGCCAACTTTTTGGAACATTCTATGGGCGAGGGAGTTGAAAAATAATGTATACAGCATATTCTGTAGGAAGGCTTCAGTAGAGTTCACCATGCACGCCTATACGTAAGTGAATATGAAGAAAATATTTCCACGAATACACAAGAAATCCGAGCCTACCGTTGAACCGTTTGATAAGCAATGGCGCAATACTCTGGTAGAAGTCAGCGGTTTTCTCAGGATAGGTAAGCACCACAGCCTCCAAAGCTCGGGCTGCTGCTCGACGGACTTTCCAAGAGTAATCTTCGTCATCCGAGTAGTCCGCTTCCTCATCCTCTCCCTCTGAATCACTATTATCCACGGTCATGCTGAAATGAAATGGAGATGAGTTAAAGGGAAATGGTGAAGAAAACAAATGCGTAGATAGATAGTCGTTCAGCTGTAACATCCTTTCGGCGCCTAGCTGCCATGCCAAAGGAAGCAAGAGGGCTGGGATACTGGTAGGTTGCCCAAGTCTAGACAGGGAAAGTCGAGAGGCAGAGGTCGGGTTAGAACCACGGACTTTCCGGTCAGTAATTTGGCGCCCTAACCAATGGGCCATCTCGTGAAGGAAGTCAACATTTGGTCCTTGAGCCGACGAAATGGTTGAATCAACTCGGGGTCGGTCAAAAGGGTTACGGGTACAAACATGTTAAAAAAAGCGTCTAAACAAAGGAACTTATCAACAGACCCTGGAAGGAAATTCCCCATTTCCTGAAGACGACGCCAGCATGTTGCGCAAAAAGGATCAGAAGTGATTTTTGAACTGGAGCTAAAGTAAATACAATGCAAACAGAAAATTGGATGCTGAAGGTGTGGCCAAGCCGGTTACCGCCGACTTGCTGGACGAATGTACTATCAGTTAAGCTACCACCGAGGTTGTTCCATACTACCTCTCCACTTGGACCCCACGATGCTTCAGTACAGTACAGCCAATATAAAGTTCTTCATCTCTAATTGGTCAGAGGGTAAAGTTCTGACTAACACAATCTGCTGGTCCTGCAGGTTGGGGATTGAAATGTGTGACGAATCGCTACTGGAAAATTTGGTCTGCTCTGACAGTTTTGCACCAACAAGCGCTGCCTTGAGGTTAGGCTTTTGAGTCCTTCTGTCTAGATCGGGGCAACCCAGAAATATTCGAGCCCACGAATAACCATGAGTTGAACATTTACAAATAATCTCATGCCCTTTGCTTTGTCGTATTCGAGGATTCGTAAACTGTTGTCACTCCTAAATTCATCAAACTAACTGGGAAAATAGCATAAGACATTTTCCAGGGGACTGTGAAAAGAGAGCTGTGAAAGGTGATGTTCCTTGGTCAGAAAAGCCAGAAAATTTGGATAGGCGCGTGATTATGAACGTGGCCGTAGTATCTGAATCACAAGCCCGAGACGTGAGGCACCGGTTGGTCGGTTTACTGAAGCCGTATCAGCTTAACTAAAAGGACCACCTAGTAAAAAATGAACTTTGATCTGCATTAGACTCTCATCAAAAATACATTGCCCATTCCTGACTAGGCAGGTTGAAGATAGTCTCTGAACGCAGCAATCAAATGACCCTGTTGAAAGGGTTCGTAGAAAATCCAAACGGATTACTACGATATGATATTTGAGACCCGTGAGATCCCATAAGATGCTCATTGCTCTCTGTACATTTCACGCTGGATTAACAGCTGAGTCAAGATTGTACAAACAACGTGACTCACTCGTCCTCACCAACGTTGTATTCATAATTCGGGTCGTATTGCAGACGGTCACAAAGCAAGGCTATGAGCTAAAACACAGGAAACATGAACCAGGATAGCAACCAAGAGGTGATAGCAAAGCATATGAATTATTGAAAGTCCCAAAAAACGAATCGAAATTGGCGTAAAGCGAGTAGCTTGACAGTGCTAACAAGAGCCCTCAAAGCTCTTTGAGCAGCCGTCACTGTCTACACCTTAAGCAACAAATGAAGCAGTCTCCACAGTAAGCGACCCACGACATGCGAACCGACTTTTCTACCATGAGAAATCTCCCCATGTGTAGAAAACTCCCAGCGTGAGATGTTTTTTTTTATTATTACCGAAAATGGCATTCGCTCAGGTATAACACCCTTTCGGTGCCTAGCTGTCATGTTGACCGAAGGAAGCATGAAGAGTGGAATGCTTTTTAGGTTGTCCAAGCCTAGACAGGGATAGTCGAGATGCAGAAGTCGAGTTCGAAACGTGGACCTTCCGGGCAGTAAATTTGCGCCCTAACCGTTGAACCATCGGAAAAAGTAAAATCACTCGATCGCCATAAAGTATTTACAAGTGTGTACCTAAAGTTCATTTCATGGAAATCCAGAAAACAAATTAGAAACATGCTAAAAGTGGAGGAGGCATCTAACTGCGTGGTTTAGCTTGCAGTACGGCTGGAGGATGAAGATTGGTCCCGTCTCTTTGCCTCTTTAATGCATGTATTCGGGATTGGGAACAAGTACAAGTGCTGTGACACAGCCTCGTTGAAGAATGAGCCTACTTCCAAATTAACACCATAACGCGTAAGTTCAAATGGGGCGTACAAAGCTCCGGCACAGTGTCATGTGGCAACTGAGTGCAACTTCGTGTTTATTCACAACGACTGTATATCTCGACCGTGAGAGAAGTAGGGTCACAAAGCACAGTAACGATTAGCTGGATACTTGAGCTGTGTAGGGTTTCAACACGCCACTTCTGCTGGTGGAAAAAGTTATGACGACGTAGCTCGGGTAATACATTCGGGAGGATATTCAAACCGTAACTGACATGAAATGAATCCCTCACTTTCACCCTGATGTACACGAACGTGAATTTCAATCGTGACTCAAACGGATCACTCGTTTGTGGTGTGCTACAAACGAATGTACAACACAAAAACTGACTGAGGGTTAAATGATTGGGGGAAGGGGTAGTTGTTGATAGGGGGTGCATGGAACTCAATTTTTCGGGGCGTACGCGTTAGTCAAAGAATAGGAAGCTGCCACATTTTAAAAACTTGGGCAATTTTTCTGATTAGTAAAGAACAGATTCGGTAGACAATCTGGATGGGATTTCTAGAAAACCCTGCAGCAAGTAATGAGGAGTGAATCTGAAGAGTATCACCTGTTAAGGGTAAATACCTTACTAAGCAACTGGCACCAGTTATAGGTACTTCACCAACAAGTACGGTTGGATCATGGGCAAAAAAGACTAGAGGTGAGGACCTCAAACGACAGCTCATCTAACTGGTAGATTTATAGTTACAGGCACTTCTGGAATTTCGGTTAGTACTGTCGAAGGTTAGGCAACAACGTAGGGGGTTTAACCCTCGAGCTCCAGGAAGGTCATTTTGTCTGCCAGCTGAATGATATTCCGAAAGCCATTGCGCCAACTATCTGTTTTACTGACCGGCAGATTGTCGATAAATAACATATTCTGGTTATGTAAATTTGGCTACATAAAGTGACCACCCAAAGAGAGAAAGCGTCTGACCTCTCATGAAGACAGTTTCATCTTGGAAAGAATCTACTATGAGGTTAGGGATGGCGCGGAACGTTGTTGTTCACACCCCACAAGAGTGATCTACCTTGAGCGATCACTACATTGGATGAGTATACTTGTTGAAAAATAGATACATACGAAAGAGGAGCGTCTGAGTCACGCATTCATACATCGATAGCATGACATCAGTGTTTAACAATGATGCTTCACGACCGTACGTCTGAGTAAATTTAGCCACATCGCACGAGTACAAAACGCCACCCACAAACAGTTAAGATCAACCACGATTTGATGAACGTTCAACGCAATTAACTGAAAGTCTTTCTAACTCATTTGCGGAACTCACCTCAGGTAAGTTAAGCAAAATGACACGAGGACAACAACGAACCACAGTTTCTAGGCTTTGGATAGCCAGCTCATGAACGTCGTCCATGTCCGCTGCACCGGCCGATCCTGGTTGTTGCAATATCCATGCCAACAGTTGTGTTACCGGTTGTATCTGCTGAGGTGTGCGAAGTAACTGTCGTCTAAAAGACAACAAAGCAAAAGACGCACAGTAGCTAGAAAAGTAAGCATGATGAGTTGGGAGACGGACTTGTAGACTGAACATGAAGAAGCCCTAGCATGTAAGAGTGTATGTACTCATGTAGTCATTTGTCCGTGGTGGTGCTAGCTCACCGATATCGATTCGTTCGAGAAAGCCGAGTCCGATGATAAAATGAATGGTTTGTACAAGTCAGCACACGAGTTGCATTCCACAGTTCACGTCAAACGTTCATGTTGGAAAATATTTCAGAGTTCAACAGAACTGACAAATACTGGTGCGCTCAAACTTTCGGATATATTTTAAGAAGTAACTTACGAAATCAGATTGAGGCACTGCAACATGGTCTTCACCAGTTCACTAGAGGCTGATTGCTTGAGCTGGTCAATCAGTAAGGGACGTTGAAGTAGCGGGTGATCGGCAACCATTGCGGTAACCTGCTCATCTGAAAACTCCTTGCCAGACGAACAGACGAAGAGACTGGCGTTCCGTAGGCGAGATAGTAAGTACACAAAGAGAGACGCAAGTAGATCTGGGGATACAATCCACGCCAAACCACCCAAAGCCTGTGTGGCACGTTTTCTTAGTGTGTTTTGCTGGCTGCTCAGATTGCAAAGCATGCAGTCTAGCAAATCTCTGTTATGTGCGGTCAACCGGTTTCCAAGGCTAGATATGGAAGAAGCAGTGAGATTAAAAGAGTGAGAATCGGTAGGTGATGCTTTCTATCTTCGACATTGACAGTGAGTTGAAGCGGAAGGAAGAAATAGCGGAAACGATTAGAGATCACGCACAGTAAAATCGGTACTTAGTATTCGCCCGATGGAATTGAATTTTTGAAAGCTATGACGTGTCCCTGATGGACTAAAACAGACAGACAATTGAGTTCAGAATACCAGTCTAAACTTTTAAGTCCCATCTAAGCATACCGGGGTCCCAGCGATGCAAGGAAAGTATTTCACCAGAATTTTTCCGCCAGAGGTATGACTACTACAGGAGGCAATTAAATTTGGTGATCTGAGAAAATATGAACAGAGATAAGAATGGTTTTTGGTTTGAGCATATATGCAACAAAATGTAACATTTTGGCGTAAAAGGTTTTATTCCATTAGCAAAGGTTTTGCATCTAGGAGCATTATGCGGTAAAGGAGCACCGTAAAATCCAAAGGGACAACCGAGGGGGAAGTAATATTCGATTTTTCCTGTCATACGGATCACAAACCAGATAGTAGTTGACGGGGAACGGTACTACCCAGAGAAGTTGTATGGCATAGGCGAGGTCGGATTCCAAAAAGCTCAGTCATACGCTCTTGCTGAGACTAGTCAGGTGAGCGGAGATGGATTGGATACGCGGCTCTTACTCTACAGATCACGCGTTCACCGATCAATTTGTGCAGATGGAAGTATGACTTTAATTGTAATTTCTGTCGCAACCAACTATTAACCTGGTTATACATACTACTGATGATTGGTCTAAATTAGCCAGATCATGTGCCTAAGGGAGAGGACGGGGTCGATCAACCACTCTATGTATCAGCTATAAACCGTACATCATGAGTACATTGCTTCCAGCTGCCACAGATCCAGTCACCGCAAAGCGGGAGAAAGTGGGACACAAATCAAGCATTGTAGGCGATGGCATGTTTAGTCAGTTCGGCAACTGGGTAGCTAGCTGAAGGCAAGCGCCACTAACTGCGTGATTTCTGCGTGTCATTAACCATTGGTGAACTGAGTACTGATAGGCTATTCAGGATGGCGACAGTTGTCGACCCGAATAAGTTTACTTTCATAATCCGTTACCAGGTCATACAGTGTTCACTTCTCGACCGCTTCCACTTAGCAAGGAGCTAAGTGAAAAGAACCCTGCGAGGCAGACGGCTTTCCAGCATCCGAAGAACATGTCTTATCACCGGGAACTACGAAGTGTGAGTAGCATAGGAGAGTACATTGTTTCTAAAGCCATCTGGCGTACTTCAGCGTTAGAGGCGAGATGTCTCAGTGGTTAGAGCGCGAATTTACTGACCGGAGGTCCGTGGTTCGAACTTGACCACTGCATCTCGACTTGCTCTATCTAGCCTTAAAAAAACTCGGCAGCAACCCAGCCCTTGTGCTTCCATCGGGTGACATCGCAGCTACGCACCGAAAGAACGTTACAGCTGAATAATTATTATTTTCATCACTTCAGCCTTACTCATTGGACGTTCCAACCAGACCCGACCAATGCTTTTGAGAAACCGATGGTCAAACAGTGAAAACATTCGTATGTCCTCTACTCATAAAAGCCACGTTTCAAAGGTGCTCTCTGGTCTTATCCTTCGAAGGTTGACTGAACACAGGGAGAGACAGATCCGTGAAAACCAAGCTGGGTTCCGTCCCTCAAGAGGGTGCATCCATCATATCTTTCCCCTCCGACAAATTATGGAACAGCAACACTGCTTCCACCAACCAACAATGGTTGTGTTTCTCGATTTCAAAGCTTTGACTCTGTGGACCGTCAGGCACTATTGCAGTCTCTGTGGAGCAAAGGTGTCCCCCATAAATTCTTGACCCTTCTTAGGGCACCGTAGGCCAACTCCCGCGGCCATGTAAAGGTCTACGGGAAGCTCTCGCCTGAGTTCACCACATCAAGTGGTATCCAACAGGACTGTCCTCTTTCACCTTTCTTCTTCAACTTCGTCATTGATGCGATCATGGAGGACTCACTACCAGCCTCTAATGCCTGTGAGGTCGAAGTGTTCCCGGGACGTCCGCTCACAGATATCGAGTACGTAGACGACATAACTCCTCTGGGATCTGACCCTGTGGTAATGCAAACAATATTAACTAATTTAAATAATTCTGCCTCACGGTTCGGCATGCGCTTCACACCTGCAAAGTGTAAAGTGCTACTGCAAGACTGGGTGAGCTCGAACCCTAGCCTCATGCTTGCGGATGAACCGATCGAAGTAGTAGTCAAAATTGTTTACCTGGGCAGCTGTATCAGTCCCGGTGGTCTCGCGAAAGATGAAATTTCCATCCGGATTGGGAAGGCCAGAGCAGCTTTAGTGAGCCTGCGTCACCTGTGGCATATGCGTGACATCAGCTTCTCTGTCAAGGATCGAGTTTACAATGCTTCAGTGCGCCCCATATTACTATACGGATCAGAAACCTGACCACTGCGCGCCGAGATCGTCAAAAGACTTTCAGTGTTTGACCACCGATATCTTCGATGCATTGACAGAATCTTGTGGGAACACCGGATCAGCAATGCTGAAGTTCGTCGAATGGTATTCGGGAGAAATAATTCACCCTCGATAGATGAACTGATCACATTGCATCGGTTGCGCTGGCTTGCCCACGTGCTGCGTATACCAGTCGACCGAATTCCTCAAACGGCTCTTTTCGCACGACCACGTGAAGGGTGAAAGAGAGCCAGAGGCAGTCAAACAATGACTTGGCAGCGAAGTGTAAAAGCCATTACCAGCAAACTCAGCTGCGCTGGTCATTGCTGTCTTCCTGAATGGGAACCCCGAGACAGGCCATATCAAACCATACCAAACCATCGGTGAACGAAACTGCGGCAGCTACAACCACAGTACGACGAGTACGCGGTTATTACAGCTGACAATGATGAATGATTAGAGACATTGTGATACATGGCCCAGTCGCGCCCTCAGCGGCGCTTATGCATCCAAGCCATTGCCCTCACTGCATAGTTCCTTTCCCTATTCCCCCCACTTAACAGTCCACTGACAGTGCTGTATTTATGCACTAATTTATCAGCTCCCGCCTCCAATGCGAATCTGTCTACCCCACCTCCCCGAATCATCGGTGAAGGAAACTGTGGTAGCTGCGACCACTTGGGACAAGTACGCGGTTCTTACAGCTGACAATGAGAATGTTTGTTTCTGATCCACTGCCGCAGTGCAAACTCTTCCATTGACAGACAAACTGATATCACGTCGGTGCCACGGGTATCCAAGGGAAAAGCTGTAAGCCATGTTTCTGATCCACTGCCGCAGTGCAAACTCTTCCATTGACAGACAAACTGATATCACGTCGGTGCCACGGGTATCCAAGGCTGGGAAAAGCTGTCCCGGTACTTCCGATTCGAGAAGTAATCTCATATCCAGCCAGTCCACTGGAACTTCGACAATTGATCAGGCAAACAAATTTAACTTCCACGTCAATTCGTTCTGTTAGACAAAATTCTGCACCGGTACTATCCTACCGCTCACAGCTGGGCGTTGCTACGGCCAAAAAGCCTGTCCCGCATGCGATTCACCAAAAGATCTGGCTGCTGGCCCGTTCAGTATCAAGGCGAGCTCCGATTGGCCAAAAGTCTTGGCTCAACAGCCAATCATGATCCAGTACCCACCGATTGCCGGTTAGCAGTGGCTCATCCAGGCGTCAGAATTTCCAGAATATTGTCGGCGCACACACCTTATATATGGGGCGTTGTGCATGTGTTTTTGACCTGGTTTTGAGCGTTCATACATGCTGTGAGCCTTTAATGGTTGCTTTGACGGGAACGCTAGCTTGGAAGGTTCAGACCGAGAACTAAGCTGAGAAAATACCGTTATCACACTCGTCTGCCAGCACGCAGTTCGAACTTGATCTCGGCCAGTCTTATAACAGTGCGGCAGAGTTATTTAGGTCATCTCAAAATGGATTTGCATGTTTAAAGAATCTAAGTCAAGGAGAGCAATATCGTCTGCATACTCAATGTCTGTGAGGGAACGTCCCGAAAGCACTGCGACCTCTGGGGTTTCAGAGGCAGGTAGGGAAATTTCAAGCGGCACATCAATAACGGATTTTGCGAAAAAAAGCCCAGAGGTCAGTCGTGTCTTACACGACTGGACACGGTGAACTCAAGCCTGCCGTATACGCGTACCCATCCACAAGAGTTCATGTACAGTGCCCTTATAAGCGATATAAATTTGAAAGCGACGCGCTTGATCGCCAGACGCCTCCGAAATCTCGGACGATTGAGGAAAATCACCAAGGTGGAACGTTCGGAAGAGTGACGCTGTTCAGGAACTTGTATCAAGGTAGAGATACGGTAAACGCATCCTCGGCCGGGACAAAAAGCAGCTTGATTCCCAAAAATCCATCTCTCCCGGTAACTGAGCAATCTGTACAAACAATAACAGACAGCACCTTAGATGCGACGGATACCAGGCTGATACCACGGTGGCTTTCGTATGACGTTCTTGTGCCCTTTTTCAAGACCGGAATGACGGTTAAGGAACTCCATTCTACTAGTTTTTTGTTTTCTTTCCAAATCTTTTGAGTTATGATCGTCAGACTGTTGACCAGGACCTCACCAGGACCATCGCACAGCAGTCATACATCACTACCAAAACACCGAATACGGAATTAAAACGAGCTGGTGCATAAAAGACTAAGTTAATGGAATTAGGTGTGCTGGCTGATATCAAAAAATGTCATGGCCAAATGTATAACAGAAAATGTAGAAAGTGTGTGGACTTACTGGTTAATTAATTCCCCGAGAACTTCGCACGCTTCGATTCGCACGTTGTCATCCGTGTGCGATACCGCCATGTGCATCAAAGGAACTAAACAGTCGTTCATGATGGTCCTGGCATCATTAGTGGCCGGGAGAGAATTGATTACCGTCTTCAGACCTTGGGTATACAAGAAAAATCTATTCAAAATGAGACCTTTCAAACAAAAGTCCTAGTAGGCTCAAGCCTGTTTCGCCAAATAATGAGTCGATTCATTTCAATTTTTATCATGAAATGTGGACGCGATTAGTAAAGTGTGAGTTGTCACAACATTTAGCCACACATTTCAAACTGTGTATACAAGAACGGCACTTAGTCGCAAGACACACATCTCTCCAGCCAGTTACGGGGGAACACCGTAGGCAGTGGTGTTGAAAACCAGTGTTTCATGCCTGGCATGCTTTTTAAAACAATTTGATAGGCATGTCATGCTTTTCACTCTTTTTGTCCAGGTCACATTTTCATATCATGCATTGTCGTTTGCTAGGGATTCATATCAACCAAGTTGGTCAGTTCAGTTTTTCGGCTATAAACCATTCAGTGAAGCATAGTGGCCCCAGATACTACAGTTTCGTTCATCTAGGATAGAGTGAATAAAGCAATAGCAGTCACGTGTTGAAAGCGATGAGTCAATCAGTTCATTGGAGTTAAACTGTTCTGCTGGTTCGATAAGAAAGGCAGTGGGCTGAGTAGTGATAACAGCAGCCTTGTTGCAAGATCGCCATTCGTTGCGCGACAACAATTACTGCCAAGGTCACTAAGCACTGGTCTGTCTCGTCCCAGAGTACTCGTACGGAGAGACGGCAGTCACCAGAGCGAATGAGCTGGCTGGTAAGAACTTTTGCTCGTTATTGGAAAGTCGTGGACTGTTCATCCATGGGTCACAGCCGTCCGATACAGGACAGGACGAAGAAAGTTCGGCGAGACAAATGGCTCTCTAAGATACGAAGTACACGACCTAACAAGTGTAACCTATAGAGTGCGACCAACCGAGTTGTCGAGAGAGTGATAACTTTTCCGAAGGCCATCTTCCGTACCTCCGTACCACTAGGCTTGTACAATGCGCCGGTAGCGCCGATGGTTAAACACGCACCGTCCACGTCTGCTATCCACAAAGTAGGACGGATTGAAGTACATTTTGACGTTCAAAATGATGTGACTCCGGTACCTTAAATAAGTTGCCTTAAAAACATAAACCCGACCGACTGCTTACCCTGACGGTCATAATGTGGGCTCCAAGTAGATTGTCCGTTCTCCTAGGCTTTTGGGTTAGCTCAGCTTGCTGTCGGTTGAAATTTTTTTATGAGGAGCAGAGGTGCACAGACGGCTGAGTGCAACTTAACGCTGTAACTCGGTAATTACTATGCGCAGATTATTGTGATTGTTATGATTGTTATGATTATGAGACCAGACCACGGACTCTTCAAGGCTCTAAAAATTTCTACGAAGGAGCCATCAGATTCCGTCGTTGCTAATGGACGAGGGAGTCTAAAATAGTCGATTTTGAACAGGTCAAAACACGTTGAGAAACGTATTTGTTATATCTTGAAGGACGGTAGTGCAACTCTGAATCGGTCCCTTGGCTTCCTGCTCCGCCCACTATGGTATATCAAAAGGTACGGTAGCTCTACACAGCCCTTTATGGAGACCCAAGGAAAATCATTACAACTGTGGCGACTTGTTCCGTAGAAATGGTAATGCATTTGCATTTCCCGCCAAACACCGCTGCCTTGCGGTTAGGCTTTTGAGTCAAAGGCTTTGGTTGATGACCCTAATCGTCCTCCTGTCTAGGTGTGGGCGCCCTGGCAGTATCCCAGTCCTCGTACAACCATGACCTACACAACTAACAATATTCTCA